TTAGCCAGGATGGTCTCGATCTCCTGACCTCGTGATCCGCCCGCCTCGGCCTCCCAAAGTGCTGGGATTACAGGCGTGAGCCACTGAGCCCGGCCTATATAATATTCTTGAAATGACTTTATAGAACTGGAAAATAGATTAATAGTTGCTAAGGCTAAATGATGGTGGGATCGGGGAGGCAGAGGTAGAGGCAGAGGCAGAGGCAGAAGAGGGTATGAAAGGGAAGTCAGTGTGTTTATGAAAGGGCAACATAAAACATCCTTGTGGTGATGAAAATATTTAGCATCTTGACTGTGGTAGTGGATATACAAAGCTATACACGAGATAAAATTACACAGAACTGAATATACACACAAATAACAAGGGAAATCTGAAGAAGATGTGTGGATTGTGTCAATAACCTGGTTATGATATCACACTATATTTTGCAAAATGTTATCAGTGGGAAAATGGGTAATGGGTACATAGGATCTTTCTGCATTATTTCTGACAACTGCATATAAATCTGTAATTATCTCAAAACAAAAAGTCTACTTAAAAAACTATGGATTTTATTTGGTATCTGTTCTTTTATCAGACTATCAGTTATAAAGAGAATTAATTCAACAAATATTTACAGTGCTATATGCAAAGGACACAGCAATGAACAAGGCTCGTAAAACTGCCCTTCTTTCCTATTAAGAGACAGCTTAAAAACAAAATAAAAAACCAAAACTGCTTTACATGGCGCTTATATTTTGGTGGGCAAGAGACAGACAAAAAACAAAAACAGAAACCACGTTAGCTGGTTAGAAACCTTAGTGAGAAAATAAAGTACAGCAAGAGGATAGAGGTGAGGGAGGGTTGTTTTATTTTATTTATTTACTTATTTATTTTGAGCTGGAGTCTCGCTCTGTCGCCTAGGCTGGAGTGCAGTAGCACAATCACAGCTCACTGCAACCTCCAGCTCCCAGGTTCAAGCGATTCTCCTACCTCAGCCTCCTGAATAGCTGCGATTACTGGTGTCTGTTACCACAGGCTAATTTTGTATTTTTAGTAGAGATGGGGTTTCGCCATGTTGGCCAGGCTGGTCTCGAAGTCCTGACCTCAGGTGATCCGCCTGCCTTGGCCTCCTGAAGTGCTGGAATTACAGGCGTGAGCCACTGTGCCCGGCGGTTTTATTTTATTTTTAAATCAAATTAAATTAAGTTAAATTAAATTTTTGAGACAGGGCCTTGCTCTGCTACCCAGGCTGGAGTGCAGTGGTGTGATGAAGGCTCACAGCAATCTCAAACCTCCTGGGCTCAAGCGAGGCTCTTACCTCAGCCTCCCAATTAGCTGGGACCACAGATGCATGACATCACATCTGGCTAATTTTAAAATCTGTTTCTAGAGAAGGGGTCTCACTATGCTGCCCAGACTGGTCTCTAACTCCTGGGCTCAAGCGATCCTCCTGCCTTGACCTCCCAAAGTGCTGAGATTATAGACGAGAGCCACTGTGCCTGTCCAAGGGGTATTACTATTTTTTCTTCCTTGAGACAGACAGAGTCTTACTCTGTTGCCCAGACTGGAGGGCACTGGTACAATCTAAGCTCACTGCAACTTCTGCCTCCTGGGTTCAAGCCATTCTGGTGCTACAGCCTCCTGAGTAGCTGGGATTACAGGCATGTGCCACCACACCCAGCTAATTTTTGTATTTTTAGTAGAGACAGAGTTTTGTCAATTGGCCAGGCTGGTTTCAAACTCCTGGGCTCAAGTGATCTGCCTGCCTCAACCTTCCAAAGTGCTGGTGTTACAGGTGTGAGCCACTGCGCCTGGCCAAGGGTTATTTTAAATAGGGTAGTCAGAGAAGGCCTGACTTATGGAGGACACATGAGGCTTGAAGGAGGAAAGGGAGCAAGCCCTATCTGGGAGGAAAGTATTACAGACCAAGGGAACAACAAGTGCAAAGGCCTGTCCCGAGGCAGGAACATATCTGGCACATTTGGGGAAAGGCAAGAGAGCCAATGGGACTGGAGCCAGGTGAGCAATGCACAGTGACAGATGAGGCCTGGGGTAGAGGGGCCAGATAAGGCAGGGCCTCGTGGGCCACTGTCATGATCCTGGCTATTATTTGAGTGAGCTCGGACACTGCTGGAGTGTTTTAAGCAGAGGAATGCCACGATCTGAGTTATGTTTTACAAGGATTACTCTGGCTGTTGGGTCAAGAATAGGTAAGAAGCAACCAGGGGGCAAAAGATGGGAAACCAGGTAGCAGGCTACTACAAAATCCAGATGAAACACAGTTACTCGGATCATGATGACCCAGGAGGATGTCATTATGTTGCTGCACGTATGAACCTTCACACAAGTGAAAAATCAAACTTGCACTCATTAGAACCCTTACTAAACGTTACTCTTTGTTACTTAGGACAAAGCTAGAGCTTTAGCTGTACAAACCTTATCTTGTGACCCAGAGGGCGTTTCTTCTAGAGTCTCAGTGCTTCCCAGATTGGAGAGCTGAGTGCTTGGCTGTAACCCAGGGCTGGAGATATTTGAGTCGCCCATCTGATTCTTTAAAAAGTTAAAAGAAAAAAATACATCATGTGAAAAAAAACTGCTATTATTTGGCTCACAAAACAGTATTTGAAGTTATCAGAAATGATACTTTTTAAAAAGAAGAAAAACCAACCTCAAAATGTTTGCTCTGTACTCCAATGTAAATAACATGCAATACAATTTCTAGAACAATGAGCACCTAATTTGAGACAACAGTGTTGGCCACAACTATTATTTCTATCACCTTTTAAAGAAAAAGATAATGGTATTACTTTATCATACATTCTTTTAATCTTTATTTGTTTCTCCGAGACGGAGTCTTGCTCTGTTGCCCAGGACTGCAATGGCGCGATCCTGGCTCGCTACAACCTCTGCCTCCTGGGTTCAAGCAATTCTCCTGCCTCAGCCTCCCAAGTAGCTGGGATTACAGGTGTAAGCCACCACGCCCAGCTGTTTTTTTTTTTTTTTTTTTCCTATTTTTAGTAGAGACAGGGTTTCACCATGTTGGCCAGGCTAGTCTCAAACTCCTGACCTTGTGATCTATCCACCTCGGCCTCCCAAAGTGCTGGGATTATGGGGGGCGTGACTCACTGTTCCCGGCCTGATTTTAATTTTAAGTAAAAGCTAACATATGGTGAAATTAATTTTTAAGGTGTGTACCGTTCTATTTCTGTTCCTATGGGCATAATGAGGATACAAAACAGTTCCAATCATCCAAAAAAAATTCCCTTGTGCTGTCCTATTGCAGTCATGCCCTCCTTCCACTCCTGGCAACTAGGTCTATTCTCTCTCACTCTAGTTTTGTCTTTTCAACAGTACCTTAACTCGTTTTGCCAATTTGAAGCTTTTTTCAAGATCATCGATTAATAATTTAGTAGCTAGTATTATAGCAGAAGTGTATGGGAAACAGTGCTTTTTCACATTTTGTTCCTTGAAGTTCTGGTGAGGATGAAACAGGCATGAAAGGAAAGCACTTAATTCAATATTTAGTGAAGAGTAAGGTGACAGTATAATTCCGCTAAAAGAAAGTTCAGCAGTAGAGAGCTTGTCTCACTCCAGTGAAGCGTGGGGGCTTTGAGGTGCCAAGTAAAATTCCAGGAGAGTTTTGTAACCATGAAATGCCCACTGCTTGCACATAGTAGATGGTTCATAAGCAGGTATTGAATAAATTAACTAATGTACCACAACTGCCATTTTATTCAACTTTTGGGAGAAAATTTTATCAGCTAATTTATAAACTAAAATGCAAAACAGAAGAGAAAGAAAACAGTGAATTTCAGAAAAGCCTCTCATTCGGGTAAAATTTTACCCGAATGAAGCTTAATGAAGGTTGTGCATCTACCACCAATTACAGACCATGAGCATACTTTTTAGTATTATGTGGTACAAACTATCAGAATACTTTTCAAAGCCTACACAAATTCCTAGGACCACTGAGGATCCTAACAGAAACTGCAGTGGTAAAGAAGAGGCACGAAGCTTTACCAGAACTAGCTGCTGCGAGCTAACTTCTGCACTCCAAGACCATCTTCTCCCATAGTAATCTTATAGGAGTAGAAAAAAGCATTGTAAATTTTCCTGCCAAGAACAAGTACTCTGGGGTAAGCGAGTTCTTTCCTTATGTTTTAGATTTAAAATTGTAAGGCACACCTTTAAAAAGAGACACAGGGTCTCACTGTTGCCCAGACTGGAGTGCAGTGGCACAACCACAGCTCACTGCAGCCTCTGACTCCTGGGGTCAAGTGATCTTCCTTCCTCAGCCTGCCAAGTAGCTGGGACTGGTTACAGGAGCATGCTAACATGCTTTCTTTTTGAACTTATATTTCTGCTGGTCCTGGAGGCCAGCTTCCCTAGTAAAATAGTCTCCTGCAGACCTCCTCCTCTCCTTTTGGTCTTTCTTGGTCAGCACCCAAGTACCCAGAGAGCCTTACCCTCTCATACTCATCCTTGGCTCTGCTCAGCATCTCCAGGATGTCGATGGGCCTGTGGTCGCTGCAGCCATTGGCTTGGCTGGGACTCTGTTTATCCCGCGCAGCTTGCTGGGATCGCCGTGTCTCCTCTTCTACCACACTAGAGGAGAAGAACAAGGTTTTAGAAAGGCCTCTTAAAACAAAATCTGACCCAAGGTTTCTTTTGGTGTTCATCTTCCAAGGACACACTAAGAGTGTCACATGATGACATTATTCTTTTTATTTTTTTGAGATGGAGTCTCGCACTGTTGCCCAGGCTGGAGCGCAATGGCGCAATCTTGGCTCACTGCAAACTCTGCCTCCTGGCTTCACGCCATTCCCCTGCTTCAGCCTCCCAAGTAGCTGGGACTATAGGTACCCGCCACCATGCCCGGCTAATTTTTGGTTTTTAGTAGAGACAGGGTTTCACTGTGTTAGCCAGGATGGTCTCGATCTCCTGACCTCATGATCTGCCCTCGGCCTCCCCAAGTGCTGGGATTATAGTCATGAGCCACTGCGCCCAGCCAATGACATTATTCTTGCAATATATAACACAGAACCTCAGTTACCTCATTTCAGGAATATATGACTTACCATTTCACCGTCTCATTAACAGTGCCAATATTTACCCTTCAGAAGGATAAAAATACAGAATTCCCTCCTAGAGTTGGCAGAGATGCATTAAAAACTCCACTAAGGTATCTCCCTTTTTCCCTTGAAGTATTTCAAAATCAAACTAATTGCTAAAGTAAATCTGAAAATGGACAATGCCACCAAGACACAGGAAGGCCGCATAGTTGAACAAATCCTCTGTGGAAAGTTTGGATCGACACTAGGCTAGTAAGGACAAAGTCATTTCTTGAAAATAGAGGTCCTGGTGAATCCTTAAAAGTTAATGACAACACTATAAGCAAATAAAAGGTTTCCCTTATTCTCCCTTTTAAAAAACCACCAACTTAGCCTGGGCAACTTGGCAAAACCCCGTCTCTACAAAAAAAATACAAAAATTAGCTGGGCGTAGTGGTACACGCCTGTAGCCCCAGCTATTTGGGAGGCTGAAGTGGGAGGACTGCTTGAGTCTGGGAGGTAGAGGTTGCGATGAGCTGAGATCACGCCACTGCACTCCAGCCTGGGTGACAGAGGGAGACCCTGATTCCAAAACAAACAAACAAACAAACAAAAAAAAACACACACTAAGTGGGTTTTCAGTTTTTAAGAACACCCCCTTCTCCCTTGTATAGAAAGATCTGAAACAATTACAGCAAAATATTAGGAACTGAAAGCTGGGTGGTAAGCACATACATATTTTATTATTTCCTATATTTTTCTTCAAGCTTTCAAGCTTGAATAATAAATTTTAATAAAGCAACTTTTTTTTTTTCTAAGATTAATTTAGGCCAGGCACAGTGCTCATGCCTATTATCCTAGCACTTTGCGAGGCCCAGGCAGGAAGATCACTTGAGCCCAGGAGTTTGAGATCAGCCTGGGCAACACAGTGAAACCCTGTTTTAAAAACCAAAAAACCCAGCCTGCACAGGAGCTCTCATTACAGTGTGGGGAAAAGGTGGACAGAGATGGCTTTTTTATTTAAAAATACTGGGTTAAACAATATTAAATCCACTTAAAAAAAAAGAAAAAACAGAATCTTTGAGTTTTATTATTATTTTTGTAGAGATGGGGTTTGATATGTTGCCCAGGCTGGTCTCAAAACTTCTAGTCTCAAGTGATCTTCCTGCCTCAGCCTCCCAAAATACTGAGATTAAAGGCATGAACTACCACAACCCACCCACTGAATTTATTTGTTTTACTTATTTTTTTATTGTACAGACAAGGTCTCATCATGTTGCCCAGGCTGGTCTCAAACTCCTGGCCTCAAGCAATCCTCCCATCTCAGCCTCCCAAAGTGCTGGGATTACAGACATGAGCCACCACACCTGGCCAGTTGATTTTTAAGCATGCAAAAATTTATTGTGATTCTCCAAGAAGGGCAGGCCTATAGATATTCTCAAATTTTATTTGATTATAGAATTTTCCTCTGAGGCAGAATTCCTGTTTGGAAAATGTGGCTTTAAGGTTAGTTACCTTATCTAGATAGTTTCTACATCTAGATTTTTATAGCTCTTCATAAGACTATTACTTCTAAAACAAATGTAGAATCATGAATTTCATGGTAGACTGAAAGACTGGTATGGGATATGAGAATAAGACCAAATATGAACTGTTTATTTAATGCTCAGATATAGGTCACATCAGCCCGAATCCACCTTCATAAAGGATCTGTCACACAGCCTGTTTTCCACCTACCTCCTGACATGTTGCCTGACTTGACCATGCTAGTATTTAACTTTTCCCTGACCCAGACTAGGATCTGTGATTCTGTGATTATTTTGGTTTAAAAGAAGAATATTTTTTTTCTTTTCTCATGCCAAAGCCTCCCTAGTAGCTGGGATTACAGGTGTGCACTACCATGCCCGGCTAATTTTTGTGTTTTTAGTAAAGGTAGGGTTTCGCCATGTTGACCAGGCTGGTCTTGAACTCCTGATCTCAAGTGATCTGACCACCTCAGCCTCCCAAAGTGCTGGGATTACAGGCGTGAGCCACTGTGCCCAGCCAGAACAGGTAATTTCATAAAGCTCACCACTGCTGAAAGCAGAAGCCGTCAGGGGTGGTATGGAAGGGACTCTCACATAAATGAGGCTTGGACTCTAAGGCCTCTTCTAACCAAACTTTATGAATAGCACCCATGCCGTTCTCCTTTCCTTTCAAACACCAAAATCTATCCCTAAGATGTCTGTAAGATCAGGAATAAAGCTTACTTCCATGAGTTCTCCAAAGTTTACATAGTCTATGTGGCCAAACATTCAAACAACATTTTATTGTTAAAAAGAGTTTCTGAGGCCGGGTGTGGTGGCTCATGCCTGTAATCCCAGCACTTTGGGAGGCCGAGGTGGGTAGATCATGAGGTCAGGAGTTCAAGGTCAGCCAGGCCAAGATGTTGAAACCCCATCTCTACTAAAAACACAAAACTTAGCTGGGCGTGGTGGCAGGCGCTCATAATCCCAGCTACTCCGGAGGCTGAGGCAGGAGAACTGCTTGAACCCGGTGGGGCGGAGGCTGCAGTGAACCGAGATCACGCCACTGCACTCCTGGGTGACAGAGCAAGTCTCTGTCTTAAAAAAAAAAAAAGAGTTTCTGGCAGACTGGATTTCCTCTTTAGGAGAGTCAACGTCTTCTAAGTTTAGTGGGTTTTCAACTCTGCCACCACTGACCAGAGAATATCCAAATTTAGATGATATAGGTCTAGAAGTTCACTCATTTTCCTACATAGTTTCTCATTTTTATAAACATTGTTTGGAGTAAATCAGTTTTTTACTTGGAGGATCTTTATTATATTGTGGCTGTCAAACAGTGATGGGAAGAATTGTATTTAAAAGAATGGGCACTGATGGACACATTTATTTATATGTACAATATACTAACAAGAACTGTACTAGTATTTTGTTGTCAAATATGTAGCAAATGACAATAAAACATGTAACAAACAGGCTTATGCAGGCAGATTTAGAACAAAGACAGATAGTCTTCTTTAGTTTTAATGATCAGAAAGGCATTTATCACAAAGTTAAGGGTAACATACAGTATTCTCTTCAGCCATAAATAGGCCACACACTTAAAACTCATTATCAACAGTTTCACCATGGTATTCTCAAATCACTATTTTTTTTTTTTTTTGAGATGGGATCTCACTATGTTGCCCAGGTTGATCTTGAACTCCTGGGGCCCAAGTGATCTGCCCACCTGAGCCTCATAAGTATCACAGCTGAAATGACAAGTACATACCACTGCGCCTGGCCTCTCTAATCACTTTCTTTTCTTCTTCCTTTTTTTTTTAAATTATTAAACAGAGATGAGTCTTGCTATTCTCAGGCCAGGATGGTCTTAAACTCCTGGCCTCAAGCAATCCTCCCTGCCTTGACCTCCCAAAGTGCTGGGACTACAGGCACGAGCCACTGTGCCCAGGCTCAAAGCACTTTTAATAACACACCTGATTCTAGTCAAACAAGCTGAAAATTTAAGCAATTGTCCCTTTTCGGACATTTCTGGTGAAAGAAGCCCCAATGCTCTTCTTTTCCCTTCCAGCTTCCCATTTCTACTCCTCATCCTATTTCTGGGTTCAATAAAATATTTTTAGAAAGGCCTTCAGTCTTCAGCTTCATTTACCATTTGAAATCTTGCATTAGGGGTAACACTTGCCCTGATAGATAAATGGTTTTCTTTCAATAGTTGTTAGAGCTAAAAGAACCAGATCGTTTCACTCAGGGCCCAAATGCTCATTCTGTAGGAGAAAGTGTTTATATGTTAATATATTCCAAAGTTTAGAAAAAATTCTGGATTTCTGGATAACCATGAATCAACAATGCTGTGTCTTCTTTTGCTGCTGTTGTTGCTGTTTTTGTTTTTTTGAGACAAAGTTTCACTCTTGTTGCCCAGGCTGGAGTGCAATGGTGTGATCTTGGCTCACCGCAACCTCCACCTCCTGGGTTCAAGTGATTCTCCTGCCTCAGCCTCCCGAGTAGCTGGGATTACAGGCACGCACCACCACACCCGGCTAATTTTGTGTTTTTAGTAGAGATGGGGTTTCTCCATGTTGGTCAGGCTGGTTTCGAACTCCCGACCTCAGGTGATCCGCCCGCCTCAGCCTACCAAAGTGCTAGGCGTGGGCCACCGCACCCAGCCAACCCTGTGTCTTCTAAGTAACCACAAGTAAGCTGCCTTTGCTGTCACTTTCAAAGCTAAAACGAGTGATCATCAAATAAAGGCTTTGTTGAAAAATGGTTTTAGCTGGGTATGGTGGCTTGTGCCTACAGTCTCAATTACTTGGGAGGCTGAGGCAGGAGGATCCCTTAAGCCCAGGAGTTTGAGACTAGCCTGGGCAATATGGCAACATCCCATCTCGAAAGAAAAAAAAATTAAATTAAAAAACGAAAAACAGTTTTATCTTTTTCAAAAGTGTTCTAAAAACAAAGTGTCGTTCTAGGGAGCCAACATTTTTTCAAGTATAAGTGACTACAAGTTCATACAGAACGATGCCCTCGGGGTGTACGAAAGTAATAAACATGGGCCTGCCCTGCAAGCTCACAGCCAGAACAGGCAACAAAGCACGGGGCTGATAACTTCCGATCAGGACATGTTGGTAGTCTTAGATCATAACCTGGCCTTAGCTATGTTTGCCTTCTTTACAATGTAAATATACCCTGAACTGAGATTCTGGGTTAATTACTTATATATACTTTCATGAGTTTAAAACTAGGCTGTTAGCTTGGCATGGTGGCTCATGCCTATAATCCCAGTACTTTGGAGGATTGCTTGAGCCTAGGACTTTAAGACCAGTTTGGGCAACATAGTGAGACCCTGTCTCTACCCACATCCCAAAAAATTAGCTGATAGTGGTGGTGCATGCCTGTAGTCCCAGCTACTTGGGAGGCTGAGATAGAATGATCACTTGAGCCCAGGAGTTTGAGGCTGCACTGAGCTGTGACTGCGCCACTGCACTCCAGCCTGCGTGACAAAGCGAGACTCTGTCTAAAAAAAAACCAAATAAAGTAAAATAAAACAAAAATAAAATAAGATTAGACTGCTAAAAAATTTAAGATTATTTTCTTTAAAACATGTAGATTGAAAACTGCAAGAGAGCAAAGGGAATTTTAATTTGACAGATGGGGATGGCGGAGCAGGGAGAGAGATCCACATTTCTGAGAAGATTCAGGCAAAAACTGAAAAAAAGCAGAAATGCACCAGAACACACTGTCTACCTATTATAGTATTTTGCCCAGAGCTCTGTAGTCCCTCGGCCCCCTGCAGCCCCATGTCGTGGGCTTTCAGAATCCAGAATGGCAGTCCAGCAATATGGACAGGTCACACAAGGGCTGGCTTCTACAGGCTAGCCTGAGAGAGGACAATGAACTGTCCTTTAGAACATTAACTCAAGGAAAATAATTTTCTAAACTTCAAGGTTCTGAGTTACAAAATACCTTCTGGAACACAACCCATGAGTGGATTGGGGCCTGCTAAGCCTAGAGTCTGTGTCAAACACAAGTTCACTTAAAAGAACTAAACACAGACGTGTGTGAGAGCTGTCTATCAGGCTATCACATATGGTATCACTTGTTACAGTGGAAATCCGGACAGAACCGAAATCAGAGCCACTGTATATGGTTAGGCTGTACACCTGATGCAGATATCCTCTGGAGCCAGGCAGTTTGGCAGCCCTAACCTACAGGTCCAACAGTAAGGTTCTGGTTAAATCATGATCTGTCTATACAGCTGGATACAATGCAGCTGTCACAAATACCACAGAGAAAGATCTAATGCCTTGGAAAAATGCTGTTCATATGAAAAGCAGTATACACAGTATGATCCTATTTTTGTAAAAAACAATCACACATATCTACTTAAAATATACATAAAGAAGACTGGAAGGAAACTGAAATGCACACTGGGAGGAGTAAGATAATAATTATATATATTTTAAAGCTTTTTGGCCTTTTCCAAGTTTTTGGCAGTAAAAAGAAATTGGGGAAATACATGAGTTGGTAGACTTACAAAGAGAAGTGGAAGGGGATTATTCTTCATTTCTCACATACCATCAGTTAAATTTATGGAGTAATATACTTACTCAGCCATGAGTTTTGCTATGCGGTGACAGTCATTCTTGTCATAAAACCAGATACTATATATCGACACTTGAAAAACAAAGGGAAAAAAAGATAAGAGGAAATGAGGTTTCAATATTTGGGTATATGTAAATAATATATTATCAACATGGAATGTCACTAAATGTACCGTCAGACCCTCAAATTGTTAATAGTCAATCTAAAGAAAACAAGTATTTCCTCCCTAAATGCTGTTTAATAAAATCAGGACAGGTAAAACATTCAGATAAAAATTACACAAAATAGTTTTAGACATTATCACCAGATCTCAGTGAACCTAAGACGTTACAAAATGTAAGATACAACCATTAGTTATGTACTATCAAGCTTTGAAGAAACAGGCTTCCAATTAAACTAAGAATCATATTGATTCTAAGATGCATTCTAAATTGATATTAAAATTGTTGCCAGGCACAGTGGTTCACACCTGTAATCCCAATACTTTGGGAGGCCGAGGTGGGCGGATCACTTGAGATCAGGAGTTCAAGACCAGCCTGGCCAACATGATGAAACCCATTTCTACTAAAAATACAAAAATTAGCCGGCTGTGGTGGCGTGCCTGTAATCCCAGCTACTCGGGAGACTGAGGCAGGAGAATCGCTTGGGCCTGGGAGGCAGAGGTTGCAGTGAGCCGAGATCATGCCACTGTACTCCAGCCTGGGCAAGAGTGAGACTCCATAACTTAAAAAAAAAAAAAAAAAAAAAAAAAAAAAGATATTAAAATTGTTACAATAAAAAGCTTTCAAAACAAATGCCAGCTCTATATCCATCCTATGACTGACTGTTTACATGTGAAATGGACTGAGCTCAGTCTATGGCACTTCTTATCCCATTCTTTTTATTTCCAATATGGTGCTCAGTTCAAAGAAAGCCCTAAAAAAATTTACTGCAAGATAAATGAACTTTATTAAAGATTATAATATATAAAAGCTACTATAAATGCTCTTTGGATAAGGTAGAGTAGAAATACTGAACATACATGCTGAAACAGACACATGGATGGATAAGACCCATTGCTACCATGTGTGCCCATATGATGACACTCACAGCTCAGCACACTTTGCACCTCCTTAAATACTTACAATGATTCCCTAGCACAGAAATGGCAGGTATCATTATGCCTTTTTTAAAGAAACATTACAACTTTTTATTTTGAAATAATTGTACTTTCACATGCAATTGTAAAGAACAGACAGATCTCAATTGTTTCCTCCAATGGTAACATTTTACAAAACTATGTGTATACTGTCACAGCCAGGATACTGACATCAGTCCAGATACAGAAATTTCCATGGCCACCAGGATCCCTGGTGCCCTTTTAGAGCCCACATCCACCTTGCTCTGGCCCCTCTCCTGTCCCTGACTCTTGGCAAATAGGAACCTGTTCTCTATTTCTACAACGTTGTAATTTCAAGAGTATTACATTATATAAATGAAACCACAGAAGTCATAGAAGACTGCTGTCCATTCCAAGCTGGTTGTAATGAGATCCTCTTTGCTCTTCCTGCTCCACTGCCTTCATGGAAGGGAGATACAGAAGTCCCCTGGTGGCCAATTATCATTAGTGGGGCTTCCAATCCTTGCCAGTTTTGCTGGGCTGGCCTAGTATTGCCGGCAGGACTCTCGTTCAGTCTAGGAGAGGAATGAGCCTACCTGGGCCACCTTCTGTCGCTAGGTTGAAGGTTAAGAAACACCAGGCCCAGGTCCCCTTCTTATGTTGGGTAGGGGTTTGTAAGACACTTTGCTGCTGCTGTTCCGCCAGTTCTGGGTTCCTGACCAGATCGTCCTCCTTCTACCTTTCACAGTTCTCTAGATTGTCTGTTGTGTCATTTCCAAGTTTTATAGTTGTAAGTGGCAGGCAGAGAGAGGTCTATGCTACTCAGTTTAATTGGAAGTTTCATTTTGCATTTTTATGGATGGGAATACGGGTTAACGGAGAGACTAAGTAACTTATTAACAAACGAGAGAAAAAAGTCAGTCTCAGAGCTATAAGTAAAACTTGGGTCAGGCCAGGCGTGGTGGCTCACGCCTATAATCCCAGCACTTTGGGAGGCCAAGATGGGCAAATCACCTGAGGTCCGGAGTTCGAGACCAGCTAGCCAACACGGTGAAACTCCGTCTCTACTAAAAATACAAAATTAGCCGGGCATGGTGGCACGTGCCTGTAATCCCAGCTACTCGGGAAGCAGAGACAGGAGAATTGCTTGAACCTGGGAGGCAGAGGCTGCAGTGAATCGAGATTGCACCACTGCACTCCAGCCTGGGCAACAAGAGCGAAACTCTGTCTCAAAACAAACAAACCCAAAAAACAAACTTGTGTCTTCTCACTCCTAGACCAGTTATCTTGTTACTACATTTTCATTGCTTACATCTCATTGCATTGAAATAACATGACATTTTTTTATAGAAACAAAGTTAGTGAGCTTAGTTATGCTTGATGATTAAAGTGACACATAAAAGAATACATAATTAAATTAAAAGGCACATTAAGAGGGTGCTATAGAATATAGGAAATAGAAGTGCTAGCACAAGAGATTTTAAATAAATCAAAAAATCATTTTTATAACTATTATTTAGCCGGGCGCGGTGGCTCAAGCCTGTAATCCCAGCACTTTGGGAGGCCGAGACGGGTGGATCACGAGGTCAGAAGATCGAGACCATCCTGGCTAACACGGTGAAACCTCGTCTCTACTAAAAAATACAAAAAACTAGCCGGG